CAAGCCAGAAATGGCCATTTCGGTCTCCTTTTGCTTTGTCGGATTCATTCTATTCCATATATATGTTCTAAAAATAACAAAAATGTTACTGAAACATAGTAAGTAATATTAAAATTAGCCACGCGGCAAGGTTCGGGCGTTCCCGAGCACACAGACATCAAAAACCAAGGCGGGTGTGCCCTGTATCTGATCGGTGTACGCCTATCTACTTATATTTACATATATAAATAATCAGAAGTAACCATACAATAGGGCGATACATGCACAGATTAGGCCAAAAATGGCCATTCCGGTCTCCCTTGTTTTTTTTTGGTTCCATCTAGTCGTTATACGACTACCTGCAGGGTCCGTATAGTATGCTCGAGGGCACAACAAGACACAGCATGTTTCTTACCAGATCAATGAACCTCCTACTAACATGGGCATATATGGGCTTATACACCTCATAAAGCGCGCAAAATAAACAGTACTTGGGATTCCAGTTGACGAAAATATTTTGTGTTTTCTGTTCTGTTGCCTGTCCTAATTAATTTTCCTCCCTTTTTACAGTTTCTAAAAACATAGAACGTTTAAATGAAACCGCGCCGGATGACATGGAGTCGGTTGTCTCTCCTTCTATTCATCGTTGGGCAGCCGCCGTCGCTAGATCGACTTACACGGCTAGCATTTACGCATCGCCCCGAGGTAACAGTTTTTTTTACTAGCATTTTCATACTGTCTTCAGCTGTCAATTATTTCTTAATTCGCCTTTACTTCTTTTGTGTTAATCTCTAGCTTTTTTGCGTGCTGATACATACAGCACTGACCATTTTTTTGGGTTATATTAATTAAAGACCTCCTTACTCACACCTTATTTTGTCTATCGCATCTCAACATATTCAAGGCTCCGTTATCGATGATGAAGAACCGCTGCTTCCAACTCGAAAACTCTCCAACTACGGGTCGACCGAAGCGCCCTTCGATGTACGTTTCTTCCTCTTAATTAATACTTGTGACCTAGTTATTCCATTTCTTATGGTTCTTCGTCCTATTGGTCCAGAAGGTTGCATTAGAAATCCGAGTATTATTACTACTTACAAAAAAAAACAGTAGCTTAATTAGGTTACCTGTTTTTATTTAGGTTGCAGCTCTTCTCATTCAAGCGTCCAAAGTTCGCAACGACGCATGGAACGCATACGAGAATGCGGTATGGGACTCTTGCTCTAATTCATCCTTATCTTCGCCGTCAGAATTTACACCGCAGATATCTTCTGCTTGCGTGCCTGGTTTCAGGCCGAAGCTTTTCCGTGTCGAGGTAATTATTTTATCTTTTCGGAAAGCTGTTTGCTAACTTATCCGCCTATTCTCCACCTATTAAGTTAAACACAGAAGTGCAAATTATATCTCGAAGGCGTTACATCCCATCATCACTTTACTTCGAAGCACTTTTACTTTGCGCCATACTACTCGCCACTTTAATGTAGACGTCAGTTTACCTCGGCATCTCTTGTGCAAAGTTTCATCGCCTCCTTGCAGGTTTTCATTCACAAAAGTGGCGGGATGGTTTTAAGTATTTCGACTAACCGGATTATTTTGCATTTCACTATTTTACAGGGTTTCATCCCTGCACCTCCGCGGATGATATTCAACGACCTTGTGCATGGTGTGGAATTCAGTCCGCACTGGAATCCGACCATCGCCTCTGCAAGGGTAAGAACGTGTTTTCTTAGTTATATCTCGTTTCTTTTCCTGCATTCTGCACCCTAGCTTATGTGTATGGTGTAGTCTACCGAGTCTGGTGTGATCCAGGGAACCAAACTTCGGAAGACATTTACCATGCTGATTGAAAGCTAACTCCACGCATCAGCTGACATGCTTGGACGAATGGATCACATATCAGGGATCCCGCTCGTGAGAATAGGCCGAATTATCGCATAATCAGTGGTTTCTAGCCGTGTAATAGATGCATTCGATGCAGGTATTTGAATATACGTTTGGTGTAGGCCCCACTCATCGTAAAAAACCTATCGTTATTATATTGCTGACGTCGGCCTGATTTTCAATTGATTTTATCATTAGCTGCTGCTAGTCTCAACGTTTTTTTACCGTTTTTGTCGTGCGCATGCGGCGAATTGATCCCGACCACTGGCCACCGCAGACGAGTCTATCGAAGTAACCCCTTTTTTCAACGCAAATCGAAGTCCTGAAAAGAAGCCGTGAACTCCAGGAACTTTCATGATAAACAAGTTTGATGATATTGACAAAATGACCGAAACCTCGCCCAAATGTTTGATAGAGAAGTTAACGAGGACTTTCTATCTGATAATTTCGTTCTGCGTCCACCGTCGATGTCCTTGCATAACCTTTCGCTGCCTTCGTAATGGTAGTAGGCGTATCCAATTGAAATCAATAGACGGTATACTTTACGTAATGGCTTACCATACTGACGCCACAGGTATTGGCCACAAGCCCAGAAACGTGTTTTTCTGGTATTCTGTCGCTGTATGACAAAACTGCGCGGGATTCGGCCCATAAACAGCCGAGGTCCTGTGCAGATAATT